GAAAGTGTTTATGGACCCCATAGAGCTTTGTGGAGCTGAAAGGGAGGGAAGCTGAAGCACAGAGGGCTCCCTGAGGCACTGCATGCTGTCCCCTTGGAGCCAGAGGGCAGGGAAACTGAGGCACAGTGAGGTAGGGCAGCTCTAGAGGCACTGTGGGGTGGCTGTGCCCAAGGGGAAAGTGTTTATGGACCCCATAGAGCTTTGTGGAGCAGAAAGGGAGGGAAGCTGAAGCACAGAGGGCTCCCTGAGGCACTGCATGCTGTCCCTGTGGAGCCAGATTGCAGGGAAACTGAGGCACAGTGAGGTAGGGCAGCTCCAGGTGGGGTGGCTGTGCCCAAGGGGAAAGTGTTTATGGACCCCCTAGGGTTAGTGGAGCTGAAAGAGAGGGAAGCTGAAGCACAGAGGGCTCCCTGAGGCACTGCATGCTGTCCGTGTGGAGCCAGAGGGCAGGGAAACTGAGGCACAGTGAGGTAGGGCAGCTCTAGAGGCACTGTGGGGTGGCTGTGCCCAAGGGGAATGCGTATAGACCCCTCAGTGGAAACCATGAGGGAGAAAAGTGAGGCTCAGACAGGACCAGGAGACACATAGGGATGCTATGGGGTGCCTGTGGGGTGCTGCACGCTGTCCGCATGCAGTCACATAGAAAGGGATTTGAAGCTGGAACACCTCCGTGTTGCTTTGGGGGCGGCTGTTCCCCTCCTTCCCCCCCCACCAGAGCTCAACGTGGGGCCACCACAACACAAAAATCACCCTCTGACCCCTTTCCCTGTCCCCACAGGTCCCGTTTGGTGAAACCCGACACGTCCGCGAGTGGTTGGGTGTCAGCGGTGAGGTGGGGAAACCACCATCAGAACATCCTAAACGCCCGGTCTTGGGTCTGACCTGCAAGAGGGCAGAGGTGAGCGGCACCCGTTTTTGGGGGCTGGTCCGGACCCTCTGCCCAAACCCCCACGTCTTTTTCCGTCACTGCTTCGTCCACAATCATTGCCCCCTCCTCTTCCTCGCTTCCAGCGGTCGCAATTTGGCTCCCAGCGAGTTGCCCCCTGCCCAACGTGTCCAACTGATGGGGTTATGTGACCGAGCGTTGGCACGGGCTGTGGGATTATTGGGGGTGCAAATGGTGGTGGGAGTTGGGCGTTTTGCTGAGCAAAGAGCCCGCAGGGCTTTGGCTGCTGCTGGGGTGACCGTAAGGATTGAAGGTTTCCCACATCCTTCACCCCGCAGCGCCCGAGCCAATAAGGGTTGGGAGGAGCAGGCGAGGGCGAGGCTGGGGGAACTGGGGGTGCTGGAGTTGTTTCAGGAGGAGGGGGGGTCACCAGAAAGGGATGGGAGTGGATCTGAAAGGCCGTTGGTCATAAAGGAGGAGGTGGAGGAGGATTAGAGAGGGTCCGTGCCTCAGTTTCCCCTCTGGAGGGTTGGATGGGTTGGGTTAGGAAAGGGGGAGGGTGTGGGTCTGTGCCTCGGTTTCTCCACTTGGGTGTGTGGGGGGGGGGGGGATCCAGGCTTCACGTGTGCCCCTATGAGGAGGTGGTGGGTTGGGGTTTTTTTTAGGGGGTGGCAAAGGATGGCTCCGTGCCTCGGTTTCCCTCATTAGAAAAGGCTGGTTTCCCTTTAGGAGGGGGAAGGGGGTGGATCCTCACTCATCCCTCTCCCCTCTCCCAGCTCAGGGTCTCATTTCGTGCTGCCCAACCCCGTGCCTCAGTTTCCCCTCACAGAAGAAAGGACCCCAACCCCAGGATGGATTCTGCCTGGGGACCCAAACCAGCAGCTTCCAGTTTCCCCAGTCTGAGTAGTGTAACACTAAATGGGCTGAGGCACAGTGGGGCAATTTCCCCCCACCCCACACACAGAGCAGTGCCTCAGTTTCCCCCAAGAGCAGCCTGGCAGCCCAGCTCTCGTTCCCCACTCAACTTTGGGGTTTTTCACCCCATAATTTCCACTGAAATCCCTCGATTTTGGGTACAGTTTTTTAATCAACACTTTATTAAAGGACCCAACAGCCCCGCTTGCTCCTAGCAGGGGAAACTGAGGCACGGGGGGGGAAGGGGGGGGGACGTGGAGTGGGGACAGTGACAGCATTAGGGTGACAGTTTCCCCATGTCCCCATGTGTGCCTCAGTTTCCCCTGCCACCAATAAACGCTGTGTCCCATGACGGTGGGCTTCGTGTCATCCTTGGGGGGCTGTGTACCCCAAAGTGTGGGGCTCTGTACCCCTTTTGTGGATGTCACCATGTGGTGGTGTCCCCCACCAGCGATGGTTTGGGGTTCCACCCCCAATTTGGGGTTGTGGGGTGGGTGGGAACACTGATCTGGGGGTGCAGGATGGGGGCAGAGCTCGGTTTGGGGCTGAAAGATTGGGGTGTATCCATATTTTGGGGGTACATCTCTGTTTGGAGGGGGTACAGCATGGGGGAACAACCCTGTTTGGGGGTACACCTCTGTTTGGGGGTACAGGATGGGGGTTCAACCCTATTTCTGGGTACAGGATGGGGTTGCATCCCTATTTGTGGATACAGGATGGGGGTACATCCCTGTTTGTGGGTACAGGGTGGGGGTACAACCCTATTTGTGGGTACAGGATGGGGGTACACCCCCTATTTGTGGATACCACCCCTTTCTGGGGGTGCAGGCAATGGGAATATCCCAAAATAAAGACACATGGATTCCTCAATCCCCCTCACTCCCACCCTGTCTCCCCCATCCTCTGCCCCCCCAAGTTGATTTACCCCACATGGGATATTTGAACTGGGTGGGGGGCACCCCTGTACCCCCACCCAACTCCCCCCCCCCAGTCAAGCAGAGTTGCTGTGTGTCCTTCCTTCACTTTGGGAAAGGAAGGATATGGGGGGGGGACCCCCCACCCCCCTCTCTACAACCACCCCACAATTTGGGGTCGGTTTGGGGGGGGGGTCACCCCACACCCCCACCCCCAGAGCGATGCAGCCAGGGGAGGGGGGGGGGGCTGAGGCTGCCTTTGTTGTGTGGTTCCCCAGCTGCTGCCGGGTTCATGAACTCGAGACTATTGAGAGGGGGTTGCGTGGTGACAAAGGGACA